AGACTGTTTCTAACACAAAGTGTCAACGTCATGAAAAGTCTTTCTCTGTTCATTAGTATCTAGCAGTCATTTAAAAAATCGCAGCTCTTCGGTATTTAGGAAATTCAAATGGAGTCTGATCAATAAAATTTGTTTGATTTAAGCAAAAATTGTCGATCTTTCATTATTCGTTGTTTAGTAGTAAGTGCTCAGCAAAAGCTTTATAACGATTAAATACATATTTATAATATTTTGTAGCATAAACTTCAATTCTGCAACAATTTGCCTTGAGTAATTTGGTAGCTTCTTATTCAAGGGAATGTTCTGCATAAGGTGTGACCCTTGTTGCTATTGCTCAAGACTGTTCTTTTTTAATGTATCAAGATCAGAAGTATTTTGTCAGCATCATGACGACTACTCTGACATATTTAGCCTCTGGTGATTACGGCATTAACTTCTGCACATAAACTGCTGAAACATATTCGTCCACAGTGCCATTCAGGCAATTACATCTCGCTCTAAAATCTATAGTAAACATTGGTCTTTCTAAGAGCTCATTAGCTGCCGGATTTTTGCTTTTCTGGGCATATCATGCATGCAACCGTTATGATTAACGTTTCAGTCGTTTCGTAAAATTTTTCCCAAGTTTAAATCATTTTCAATTCATTAATGAGTCATCAAGTGACTGAAGTGGCCCTGCTATAGATTTCGGAACCTCGAAGAGGCTGTAGTTCTAAATTTTTAAGATGAGTTCTATTTTGAGCCATTCCGTTGTATAAGAGCAAACTCAAATTAATTTACGTGAACCAATAGTGGCTAATTTATAAACTTCACTTAATATGCCTGGAAGTAATAGAAGCAATATCGAATATGAAGCAAAATTTGAACAGAAGTTCGCAGTCTTCCACTTTTGCCTATTCCTTTCTTAAATAACTTAATGTAAAGACGCAAGTTTTTATAAAAGGTATGACATTAAAATTGTCTGCAGCTCATCACATAATTATGCATTCTCATTTATAAGCAGGCAATCAGTTTAAATGCACGCTTATCGTTTCCAGTCGTGTGGACAGACATGTCTCTAACAATCTCGATTTTATGTCAGCGTTTGAGTTTCGGCAGAAGAAAAAGCAAGCCTCGAGTAGAGTCCGTAATCCTTATCCGGGGTAGAGTCCGTCGTCCTTGTCCTAAATCATTCATGGCCAACCCAACGGTCTTCGGTTAGCCATTTGTTCTCTTTTATGATAAGAAATTTATCAAAACAGGGTGTAGCAGCAATTGTTTTTTGCATGAATTGAACATTTGGAAACAGTTGAAATTAAAGAAGAAAGCTATAAACAGACGAGCAGATAGAAAAATTCTGTTGTAATGAAGAGCCATGTCATCCAACGAGAATCACGTCAGGTAATCCAAAAATAATCAGCTAGAAGAAAAAGAAATTTCTGGAAGCTGTCATAAAAAAACGAACGCTTAACAAAATTAACAAAGAAGAGGAATCTTATGAAATAAATCGTTTCATGGCGATGTTGAATAATCATTGGTTCGTTCTTTCTTTTTTTTGTCGTTGTTTCATATCATTAAATTTTTATCAAACACTACTTTGTTTGTTTTTCTAACTTTTCTTTAGCCATGCAACATTTCAATCAAATGGAAAATCTCGCGCTTTTTCCAAATAGAATGCTATGACAAAAAGATTCTCGTTTTTCATGCAGATCATTTGCCTCCTTTCGTTTAAAAATTGTTGACGGTCCTGCTATGGATACAAAGCGGTAGCGCACATGCTGAATTCGTCTTAAACTATATAAGCACTAAACAAAATTTCTTGCATACAGTTCTTGTGTGGTTAAATGTTGGTTATCTTGCGCGTCACCAGGTTACGGATAGAGAACGACCTCCAGATATGGAGATTAGCTGCGACAAATAAGAGGACAGGCTGCAGTGACAGACATCTGAATGTCGCCGGCTTAAAATTCGAACTAGTTCGATCGTCAGCGAAGAAGTTACAATGTGGAACTGCAGTCTCAACACTCTTACTTCTAGGCGCAAGCGACTATTCCGTTTGAGGAAAAAAGACCGCCAGTGCCACCGTTGCCTTGCGGTTACGTCAGTTCATTAAAGGCTGGAAGAAACAGCTTCGACAAAAAACCGGACGAAATACATGCTTTAGTCTGTCCGAAATTCCTCAGGCAACCGTTAGCTATGAAACGGCTGACAGAACTTCATGCACAATGACAACACAAGTAGACGAGTCTCAATACCCTGCATGTCTCTCGGTCGATCTAATGTTTGATTGACGAGAAACTGCATGGAATCCCAGGTGAACGGTCCTATCGAATGAATGGATCCGAATTTCCCTCATCATCTGCACCTACAACTGTGGAACACTGGTGAGGAAAGAAACGTTAAACCAACCAGTGCATGAAAGGTCATAGATCACCTGCAGAATCCTTGGCCATAGCAAGGTACGACTACTGAAAGCAATGAATGGTGTCTGGAAAGGCAGTTGTTCGATTTGACCTGGAAAACAAAAGGTCTCGAAGAACATAGGAGAAATTAGACTTATAGTCAACAAAAGCTGGTTGACCAAAATTGTTTCCTGCCTTGTGAAGTCACCAAGATTCTGTTCGGTCACCAAGTGTCTGTTTCAAACTCAGCTAGAAGGGGACCTTGAAGATCGCCCAAACCTATGCTCCAACAAGTACGGTTGACAAAGAGGAAGTGGAAAAATTCCGTCAAGAAAAGAAACAGACATCAGTGCTAAAGCGTACGCATACCTTCGTCATGAAAGACTTCAATGCCAAAATCGAACGAAGAAGGATTGATGAAAAAGTTTTCGGTAGGTACGGCACCGGATAAAAAATGGGTCAGGAGATCGGCTAGTGACCACAGCAAAAACAAATC